GAAATGAAAGCCGAATATCAAGAGATGAGAGCTGAAATGAAAGCCAGATATCAAGAGATAAAGGCTGAGTTGAAAGCCAGCCTGGAAGAGACGAAAGCCGGACTGAGGGAGATGAAAGCCACACTGGAAGAGAAGAACTGCGGACGAGAAGAAATAAATGTTGGCCAAGAAAAGGTGCGAAAGCAACTCCCACAGATGAAAGTGGAGCTTGCAGAAGAAACTAGAGCCATAAAAGAAGATGTGGAAATGACAGAAGTAGCATCTGAAGAAACAAAGGATGAAGAAATGAAAGAAATATCTACTGAACTGCCAGAGAAAGATCAAGAAATGAAGGATAAAACATCTAACGGGTTAAAGAAAAAGAACGAAAACATGAAGAAATAAAAAAAGGGAAAGAAGCTTTTGATTCTCAAGTGCCTGAAAAGGAAGAAAATGAAAATGCGACAGTTAAGTTTGTCAAAACTGAAAGTGAAGTTACGACGTCGCAGTTAGCAAGAATTGAACCATCTGAAAGTGCACGTGATGCAGAGATGGAAGACACTGATATACAGCTTAGGCAGTGCACTCCAGTACTGCAAGAAAATTCACCCACTTTGCAAACCATGTGTGCATCTCATAGTGCAGATTTTGTAGACAAGGACTTGATTCTAAACCCGGATACTTTTGCTTGTAAAGGATTCGATTCTATTTGCGACCCTGGTGCAAACATCGGAACTGGTTCTCAGGAAACACAGGAAAATGTGCATGTACCAGCTGCTAAAGATACCGAGGTGAACTGTACATGCAAACAAACTTCAGAGTGAAGAACAAAATGTCTCTCTTCCTGTGGATGAAAAGTGTGAAAGGACTGAATCTTCTGACTGTGATATGCAAAATAAAAATACATCTGAGAACTGCGGTGGAAAAGTTTTTGACCCAGGTATCACTTAATGAAAAGACTGATATTGAAATTCATTATGAACATGTATGTTCATAATGTATATAATTTAAAATGTATATAATTAAAAATTGTTATGTGTTTAATTTGTGTATATAACTTGTACATAGTGTAAATGTTTGTTTCTTTAGTTATGTTATCTGTATGTTTTAAAACGTTTCGATTGTATCGAATCTGCCTTCTGACCAAGGGTTGTACTGCCCGGGACGTGCAGTCCTTGGGAGGGGACAGTGTTACGAAATGTCAAGGAGCGGTAAGGTAGCTTCCCAGCAAAGCAAGTTTAGGGTTGTCATAAAATGGCAAGGGAAAGCAGTGTTGCTACATTTAGTGAGAAATCGCCCATTTGGCAACAAAATAAGGCAATTCATTTCTATTTTTGATGTTACTGCAAGTAGTTACATTTACCTCTAAGCATGGAGTTCCTTTCTCCTTTTCATTTCATTATTCCTTAATAATTGTTAGATTACAATGTTTCATCAACCTTACATTGATGTCTGAAAAAAAATTTTAATTAGAAACACGTTTACAAACTATTGAAGATTCCACTGGCAGTCTGTCGCAAAGGAAACTTATAATACATTGGTTTCCAGCCTATCTCCCCAGACATATTGTCCTACTGCTTCAGGATAATACTCGACCAAATACAGTAGTGTCAACCATACAGCAAATCAACATTTTGCATCTCGTCCCCCATACTCTCCTGACATTTCCCAACCACACTGCCATTATGTAGAGTAATTGAACTATTCTGTGTCCAAGAAATATTTTGCCAACAATGCATCAATTACAGTTGTGGTCTTCATCGCTTCCAGAGGCATTGATTATGGCCTATACAAAGAAATAATGATCAGATGCTGAAGATTATTTTGATTAAGTAAACATTTCCCCCCCTCTTCTCTTCTTCTTTTAAAACATTCTTAAAAACCAGTCATTCACACACAATCCATATTATCATAATTAAAACTGTGTGACAATAGAATATGTTAGTAAGAATCAAACAATAGATTATTGTGAGAGATATTATTGTAAACAAAAGAACAGTATTTATAACGATGACGAGATGAGTTTTTGTTATAAATTACTCCAATCTAAGTTAGTGATATTCAAAAGTGATGTTATGTATATGCTTTAGGAAAAAAATCACCATTAATAAACAAGCAATCTTTTACAACAAAGATGCTTAAAAAGTGTCACATATCTAAGTACAAAACATGGTATATAAATCAAAAATCCCAAATGATGTCTGATATTTTCATGAACCATACTTTAAAAAAAAAAAGTTAAAAATTAAATATGAAAAAACGGCCAAATACTATTAGTTACGGAATGTACTCCACATCATTTAAAGATAGCATTAGTAACATTGATTTATTGTTCTTACCTGCAAATAAAACTAGCAAATTGCAAATAATAAATCTTTGGATTATCAAATCATTTAAATTTCAATATCAGGAATGCATAATTGACTACTTGTCGATTCAATAGGAAAAAAAGGAACATATTAAAAAAATTTCTTTTATTGATTTAACCAAATACAGTGCTACCTTGGTATACGTCCAATTTGGCATGCATTCTGCTTGGATGTGAAAATTTTTGTTAGTACCTGTTGCTTTTATTCTGTAAACAACTCGTGCTATAATTCGAATTTTCTAGGAATTTTTTGTTTTTTGTATAATAATTTTGTAAATTCATTAACAGTGAGTTTTAGGGAAAGTTAATGATAAGAGTCAAGCAACAAAAAATCACTGAATGTAAAAAACAAAGACTCAGTTAAATCAGTTAATGTTACAAAGGGGTTGAAATCAATTACCAAACAAAGATCAGAGAAGCTAGAGTATGTTGAAAAAATTGCTTTTGATCTGGATGACAGAAAAAACATTTATGCATAGTACTTCATGTACAATGCTTCCTTTATGCACAGTATGTATTTTATTCACTGCATTGGTATTTTAGTATTAAATAGTGTTAATATTTTATAAGAACAATTAGTCAGTTCCCTTTTATGTTTTACTAGAAAAGTTTGTTTCATATACATCCAGTATGGTACGAGTCCAAGTATCTGGAAATGATTAATGATCTATACTGAAGTACCACTGGATTGAAGCAGCATGAAACAGTAAAAATGAAAATGAAATTAAGATATGTTTTTGCAAGTGATATTGTTCTTTTTTAAAGTCATAATTATTGCAAGCTACCTGAATAAGGAGGTACAAATGAAGATATTTTAGTCTAGACAGGTGAAATTCTGCAAGAAGTTCAATAATTAAGTAATAATACCAACTCAAAAAATACTTAAGATCTTCACAAAAACCTTTCTTGAAATGTATGCGCATTTCACAACTTTTCAGAAATATGAGAAAAATCTGTTGAAGGAATCTTGGTTGTTCCTTATATAAAGGCTCTAAATTATGTTTAGAAGATACAATAATTAGATCATACTTTTAAGAAATAAGATGACTGATTTACAGTGATGCTCCAACATTTTTCTCAAGTTTTTAACAAAATACAAAAAATCAAGTATGCATATTTTTATTGAATGAATATTTTAACAAGCAATGAGTGCTTCTGAAGATATCACACAAAATTCATCCTATATTTTTTTTCCTACATGCATAAGATATATTTTCCATATTTTATGAAAATTATATTTCCATATTTTAGAATACTATTCATTTTTAGTATTTCAGAAAATTCATGCTTACTATTTTTTAACATTATTTGCTACTTATCTTTGAAACTAACATATAATTTTATTGGCATTGTAAGTATTAAGAAAAAGATACTGTATTTCCACTTCGGTGCTCTATTTTTAATCAATGCAAGCATCTCTGAATAGAACAAACCCATTATGCAAATTAATAATCACAAATTATGTTAGTGTCTTGTCTAGGATGACTACTTCCTTAGATAAACAAAATCATCTTACAGCTGTAGATATCCATATTAAAATTATGCTTCAAATAAAGAAATGTTTTAAATATTCACGATTGACTACTGTTAAAAAAAAAGAACTGTCTTTAAGCAACAGTATATTCTTTGTCACATTAAAATTATATTGTTATGATAAAAAAATTATCAGGAATGATTCATTTATGTTACACACAAGCAAGAAATCACTTGTAAAGTGTCCCCCTAAACTGCTATGATTTTCATTGACATTTGACAACAATCTGTACTTTGTTTCATTTCACCATTTGCAAAAACATTTGCTTTTAAAAACATTTTTTACAATTTCCCAAAATGAAGAATATAATTCATTCAGCAAAGGCCATTACAGAAGACAAGTTCAAAAACTGTTCATGAAAGATACCAAGATGGAAGGAGCAGTGGCAATTGGAAAAAAAAGTGAGCTGAAAGAAGTGATAAGGCATACACATTAAAAATAACTCAGAACTATTAAATCTAAATATTTCTCATGCAATCAGGAAAATGAATAATAATGTTAGGTGGATAGATTTAAAACGGCTCATTTTAATTTTGACAGAGAAAAGCAATATTTACTTTATTATTACTAGTTATTGGTATTAATATCAAGAAGTAAGGATTTCATGCCCATTATCTACTTTATTTAATGCTGCTGGTGCCCTATGTTACGCAAATATAAGGCACCAGCAATCTTATATAAATGACAGAAATTAACTATAAACATTTTATCAGCTTTGGGACAATTAGGAGTCTTAATTTTCATTTGTTTGTATGTGAGTGCGTAGCTTCTCTTCTCTTAAGTTTTCACTTCAGTATCAATGAAAATAATTCATGAAGTAAGCAAAAGGCTGAAATGAAAGCAGAAAGCTGAAAGAGGTAAATGAAAGTAATCTCCTAAAAATCTGTTACCCTCATTACTACTTATTAAAAGAAAAGCTAGCATGGTTTATAAAACATGCTAAAATAATTTATTGCATTCCACAAAGATTTTATTTTGGAGCTAATAATCATACTAATATTAGAAATTTGTTCAAATCCTATGCTACTTTTTATAGTTTTGTGTATTACATTTTGTAACTATTTAAACTTATTTTACATCAATGCCTTTGTCATTTTTAAAAATAAATATAATGCTTACCATATTCAATGAAATTAGATACAGTCTTTTCCCGCCTTAAAGATGAGTTACAGCATTCGTCATATAAAACTACTAATGCATCCACGAGGGTTTCAACAGAAATAGATATATCATTTTTTCCAGTAGATCTATCAAGAAATATGGCATCCAACTCCGCTGCTAATTCTTCAGGGGGTCGGCCAGACATTGTCACACTAAATTACGATTTAGAAAATGGAAGAAAGTTAACAAATATAAGAAAACAGCCACATCCTTCATCCAGAAGAGATGACTAAAGCCTGAAAGAAAAAATACTCAGTTATTAGTTATAGTATAATAACAGTTTATAGTATTATCAAAAAATAACATTTCTAATTTTTCTATAACAAGCTCAAAAATAAAAAAAAAAAACTACATCAAACTTAGAAAAAATGAACAATGATCTTAAAGGTTAACAGTGAAGATGGCCATACACTGTACTAAGCTAATCTGAAAGCAGAAAGACAAGTACGAGCAGTGTGCACTCAGTAATAGTTTTCAGGAACAGTTTGCCCCCCCCCAAAAAAAAAGGTTTGATTACTATCAATATTCAATTAATTCCATGAGGAAGTAAATAAAAGAGAATAACTTCACCAGTGAGAATTAATTTTTAATACAATTTTTTCCCGTAATTTCTGATTATTCACATCCTATGAAAACTCACCCACTCACTATGCCAGTTGTAATGAGTTGTAAATTGATGAAGAGCCTGTGTTTAGATAATTTTATGGCTCATAAGTACTGTTATTTTCATAAATAATAAGCATTTTACAAAAAAAAAGTAAATTATACAAGGGAGGAAAAACAGAAACCATATACAGTTGACATTTATATCTTTACATGACAGCTATTTACAAAGCATATAAATCTACATATACTCAAACATGCAATACACACCTACATCGGTTGGTTATTAGAGTGTGTATACTCAAAATTACCTCCAAAGTTAGAAAATTCTACCCAATGTTGAAACCAGGGCTATGGAAAATCAGAAAGCACTTTTTTTTTTTTTTTTTTACTTTCCTTCCATTTTCATGTTAGCCAACTTCCGTAACAGGAATTAAACATTAATTATTTCATTCAGTCCTTCATTCTAAACTAAACTCAGTGGCGTAACAGCCCTAATGGGCCAAGGACTGCAGTGCCCGAAATCTGCTTTCTTGACCGTGGGTCCTGGGTTGCATAAGCATATGCTCTGAACAAGTGGTCAGTTTATTGCAGGACTCCCAGTGTTTAGTCCCCAAGGGAACTTAGTACTTATTTTATCAACCCAAGTGATGGAAATCAAGGGATGAAAGGCTGAGTCGACCATTCCCAGCCCGGGAATCGAACTCTGGACCTGTGGTACTGCTGCATGCAATACACTAGCCACTGCGCCACCGGGTTCATTCTAAATTCTGACATGGCAAGAAGTTGACATGAAAAGAGTAAATACTGGTAACTTGCAAAAGCTTTTGTGTTCAACTTATTGCCCAATAGCAAATCACACAAAATTACAATAATATACATACAGTATGAATAGTGCTTATGAATTATTGTGACATACATACTTATATCTAGAACACATTCCCATTACCAGTTGAGTGGTTAAGACTGAAAATTCAGCCTGAACTGAAATCCCATTGTATGAGCTGGCTGCATAGGTGTTTTAATGCTTTTTCCCATGTGTAGCACCCTCAATGTGCTTTGCCTTAAATATTTAATCTGGTGTAACTTTTAAATATGTAGATATATATGTGCACGTATGACAATATGATTTAGTTCTTAGCAATAATTTGGCATGGGATGAGTGCTTGAATAAGGAAGATGTTATTTGGCAGTCGTGAATGGATTGAGTTTGGAAGATCACTGAAAATATCAATTACGTAGTGGAAGATGTAGAAAACTTTTGAAGAATCACAAAAATCACTTGATAATCCAAATACCTATTTATTACTTCACTGCTCTATGGCATGACACATCATAATGAGGCCAATCTGCACCCCACAATTTTGATGAAGATGCAGAAGCAGGCAAGCAAGAGACAATTTTTAGCTAGCACGCATAGGCAGAGAAAGAGGGAAGGTAGTTACATAGCAGTAGTATTTATAGTAAAATTTTTCGTTAATCTGATTGGGCTAAAACTTATAAGCAATGCAGAAGTTTAAGATGACATAATGCGGAATTAATTTTCAGATATGACGCAGTTTCGAAAAAGTACCCAAATTAAAAATGAGCAATTATGAGGCTTTTTACATTATAATTTTTATATATAAGATACAAAATACAAAAAGAAATTATTAACTTTAATTTAGCAATAGTCCTTTTAATCCTTCGTTTTAATATGGTTATGTTCCATTCCTGGAATCCAAACTATATCACTTGAAAACTAATCTGCATTAAGTCATCTATTAGCTCAAGTGCAAAGTATGTCACACATTGTGTGCTGTGCATCGTAAAATGGCTGCCGGTGGTAAAATGGGTGCATGGTGGTATAGAACAAGAAAGCAGAAGGTGAGGTTTTTTTTTTTTTTTTTTTTTTAGTGGTTGAGGACAAAAGAAAAGAAACTTTGTTAGATGTATTTCAATGGAATTATAAGCATTCTGTTTGTACAAAGGAAATGCATATGGTCAAAAGTAAAGATCATTCAGATGGCTTTGAACTGATTTGTCGCAAGAAAGGTTCAAATGCTCACCATATAAAGTGTTACATTCGAAAGGGAATATGGTTTGAGGAAAGTTTCTGGATGCTGTTAAAAGGAATTTTGTATGCCACAGACTGAGTGGGTGCTCCTTTGACTTTTTAAGTGAAAACAGATTGAAGTGTACATGGAGAAAGTCAAGGGAAATCTGCAATTCTCTGATGTTTTTTACAGTGAAAATAGGTCGATGTGTACATGGATATAGAGTTTGTGCAATTCTTTGACTTGTTACTTTGGATTTGTGTAGCAGCAATTTTTGCACAAATAACAAGTCAAGGAATTGCACAAACTCGGTGTACACTGCTAAAAAAAAGGGGGACAGTTCTATATCTCCCGTTCTACTGGACCAATTGACAAAATTCAAATTGTGTTCTTTATGTCTTGAAAGCGTGTCTTAATATTTATATTAGATTTATATATAGCACTATTCTAACATAGATATTTTGACACAAAATGGACTTCATCTGAAATAACATACCAATTTTTTTACATATTTCGATTCTACGACTCAAATTATGCCAGACTGCCAAGTTTTATAAAAATCGTATGAGTAGTTTTTAAAAAATTAGCTCTCAAAATTTTAGCTCCTCAATGTTCATTGAATTTGGCATATATTTATCAATATTTCTTTTTTTATTTAACTTTTTGATATTTTCTTTCACATTTCAAAATTTAGGTTCATTCCAAAAAAAAATTCATCTATTTTTTGTAGTTTATTTTTAAAATTTATATTTTTAAATAATTTTTATAAATTTAAAAAATTTTGAATTAAACCTATAAAATTTTTACCATCATCTTAAAGTAGGTGTAATTCTAAGCATACCTGCAAAAAATTATTTTGTTAAAAAATTATTTGAGTTTTTTATTCAAATTTTTCTAAGATATACACGAATTTACATATTTTCACATACTGAAATTTGGCAACTTTTTTTTTAGCGATTATAACGCCAAATGTGGTTTATGGATTTTTATTACAATGAATTGCCACAGCTATTTTTAACCTTAAATTTCAAATAAATTTTTATGGAGAATTAATTATATGAAATTTTTTCCCTCAGTGATGTGTAATAAATATTTAATAATATTATATTAAAAGCTATTTTTTAATTATAGATATTATTCAAATTTTTTAACCTTTTTTTCATATATATATATATATATATTTGCAAGAGTAAATTTTTACCTTCGCCGTGTTATCGTCTGCTACTTACTTTGACTCAAATTGAATTGTCTAAAACTGAGAAAGTTTGTTTGATGTTTTCACAATGTTTTTAAGCAAACATGACATTGAGAATTTGGGTCACGTCCCAGCTCTAAAAATTATATATATAAGTATAAATTCTTACATTAATCTTTTTCGAAAGAATATTTTAAGTAGCTAATTTTATCTTGTGTTATAGATTGTATAAAAAGCATGATCTTAAATATGATTTAGATTGTTTGTAGCCGATATAATAATCGGGTTACTCAGTGGTTGAGAATAAACATTGCTGGACTCTTTTATTTCTTTGTCATTTAACAAAAAATCTGTTAATTAAAATATTTATCCTTTGGATTTTGCTTTAAAGGTCATTTATAGTTAAAAATGCCTAGAAAATGAGAAGCTGTCGTCAATGGAAACGCAGTTGATGTAATTGATATTTAAACAAACAAAAAAAAAAAAAAAAAAAAGAGACAAGAATGTAAAATTTATGGGAGTGTAAGAACCGAAAAATTTTAATTTTCTTGTGGTGAGCACCGAAAATAAATGTAGAAGGAAAGAATAAAATTAGGGACAAAAGTAAGAAAAAATTTGAAGGGGAATTTGGCTGTCAGAAATACAAGGTGTTTTGAAAAGTGGGATGCTTTCAGAATACTTCAAGGAATTTGGGTGTTCAAAGAAAAAACACCTGGACGTGTACACCAGCAAATACTATCAGTTGAACTTGTGCTAATAGAAAAGATAAAAATGATATCATTGCAGATTAAAGTGAAGAGCGACTGGTTTTCGACTATATGTTTGCATAAAATTAAATTACGCTATAGAACATCATATCATCATAAACAAAGAATCCCATGATTTCTTAGTCAAATTATTTGAAAATTCAAGAATTTATCCAGTTATGTATGTGGATGTCACCTAAAGACATTTTCCCTCTTGATGAAACCAGTCTTTCTTTTCATCTCATGCCTTAAAATGCTTATCCTCTAAAAATTGATAAAGGTTCAGACTAAGTACTGATGAAATGGATTGATTTGGATTATTAAATTACGGCAAAGTAGGGCTATCTGCCCTAAAAGATGGGATGCCTTCGTGAAGAACTTTCTAAGGGAAACTAGCTGGCATACATGTTACAATGAGAAAAACCACGAAAACGCCCATGCAGCCAGCATGTTCACTAGGATTCGAACCTCGCAGCGAACTACCAGTGTTCAGCGATTTTACCGCTCAGGTGTTTGTGGGTCTTTATGAAATGGAAGACGAGAACTTTAATTAAAATGAATGTCAGAAATACCAAGATGAGATCAACCAAGAAGTTGGATGCTTTTTAATATACTTGCAGAATGCTTGAAGAAAAAGAGCAAGCCATTAAGAAGAA